CGGACGCTCATTCCAGGACCCCCGTTACTGGGAACCTCCATCCCTGGACCCCCCATCCCCAGCCCTCCCCCCCAAAACCCTGGGCCCCCCCAACCCTGGGCCCCCGCATCCTCAGGGCCCCCATCCCCGGGACTCCCCGATCCCAGAAGCCCCCCAACCCCGGGACTCCTTGTCTCCAGACCCCCCCCGCACCCCACAGCCCCCCATCCCCGGGACTTTCACCCCCCGCGTTCCACCCCCGCCGCGCTGACCCCCCCGTGCCCCCCAGCCGGCAGACCCTGCTGGTGCGGGTGGGCTGCGAGGGGCAGGAGGGGCTGCGGCACCTGCCCGGGGACCACCTGGGCGTGTTCCCCGCCAACCGCGAGGAGCTGGTGCGGGGGGTCCTGGAGCGCGTGGAGGACCCGCCGCCCCCCGAGCAGCCCCTGGGGCTGGAGAGCCGCGACGGGGACCCCGCAGGTACGGGAATGGGGACACGGGAGGGGTGGGGGGAACCCCGCAGGTACGGAGCGGGACGGGAGGAGGGGGGGGACCGGCAGTACGGACCGAGACGGGGGGAGACAAGGGGGACCCCGCCGGTACGAGCAGGGGTTGAGGCTTGGGAAGGAGCTGGGAAAGGGGAAAGGGTTGGGGAAGGAGAGGAGGAGGAAGAGGAAGGGTAGGGGGAAGGGGCTGGGAAAGAGGAAAGGAGAAAGAGCTGGGGAAGGGGAAGGGGCTGGGGAAGGGAATGGGAAAGGGGCTGAGGAGGGGGCTGAGGACGGGGAAGAGGAAGGGGCTGGGGAGGAGGAAAAGGAAAAAAGGAAGAGAAGGGGCTGGGGAGGAGCAGGAGGAAGAGGAAGGGGCTGGGGAAGCGGGGGAGGGACAGGACAGGACTGAGCACCCCTATCCCCCCCACCCCCGCAGGCGGGTCCCCCCCCGGACCACGCTGGGTGCTGCAGTCGCGGCTGCCCCCCTGCACCCTGGCCCAGGCTCTCACCTTCTACCTGGACGTGGCGGCCCCCCCGACCCCGCAGTTCCTGCAGCTCCTGGGCTCGCTGGCGCGGGACCCCGCGGAGCGGGAGCGGCTCCAGCGCCTGGCGCAGGTGAGGGGCGTTACCCCCGGGGCAGGGGGCTGGAGGAGCTGGAGGCTGGGATGCTGGGATATTGGCCCCGTCCATGGCCGGATACCGTGATGCTGGGATGCTGATCCCATCCCCAGCTGGGATACCGGGATGCCACCCTGCCAGGGTGACCGCTGGTCCCTTTGTCCAGGTGCTGGGTGAGTGTCCCACACAGGTGCCAGGTGCTGGGTCCCGGTGTCCCACCCGTCTGCCCGGCGTGGGGTCCCAGCGCTGTGCCGTGTCCCCGTGTCCCCGTGTCCCGGTGTCCCCATGTCCCGGTGTCCCCACGTCCCGGCCGTGTGCCCGCAGGACGCGCGGCTGTACGAGGAGTGGAAGTGGTTCCGGTGCCCGACGCTGCCGGAGGTGCTGGCCGAGTTCCCGTCCGTGGCTCTGCCGGCCGCGCTGCTGCTCTCCCAGCTCCCGCTGCTCCAGCCCCGCTACTATTCCATCAGCTCCGCGCCCGGCGCCCACCCGGGCGAGATCCACCTCACCGTGGCCGTCGTCACCTACCACAGCGAGAGTGAGCGGGGACGGGCACGGGCACGGGCACGGGGCGGCGGGGGCTTCCAGGGCATCTCCGGGGTCCTCGGGGCCCCTCCAGGGTTCCCAAACCATCTCCGGTGTCCGCAGAGCATCTTCGGGTCCTCCGTTCCCCAGCCCTGCCCGGGGAGGGGGGTGTCCCCAGCCCCTCTGCGTGGGGGGGTGGGGGGTCTCTGGGGGGCTGCCTTTTGGGGTGCCGCCCGCCGCAGCCCCCACAGACCCTCCCGGTCCCCACAGACGGGCAGGGCCCCCTCCACTACGGCGTCTGCTCCACGTGGCTGGCGCGGCTGCAGCCGGGGGACACGGTGCCCGCCTTCATCCGGGGGTAAGGGAGAGTCCCCCCGCTCCGCCTGCCTGCCCCCCCTCCTGCTCCCTGCCCGCTCTCCCTGTCCGCTCCCTGTCGCCGCTCTGCTCCCCTGCCTGTCCCCCCACTCGTCCCCCTCCATGTCCCTGCCCGCCCCCGTCCCCCCCCCCGACTACATTTCCCGGCATCCCCGAGCAGGGGCCGGTCCCGGGGCTCCCCCGGGTCGGTCCCGGGCCCCCCCGGTGACACCGTCACCGCTGCAGGGCCCCCTCGTTCCGGCTGCCGCCCGACCCCAGCACCCCCTCCATCCTCGTGGGCCCCGGCACCGGCGTCGCTCCCTTCCGGAGCTTCTGGCAGCACCGGCTGCACCTCCTGCACACCGAGGGTGGGGACAGGGCTGGACGGGGGGAACGGGAGAACACAGGGACATGGGAGGGCTGGGGACAACGGGACATGGTGGGGGGACAGGTGGATGGGGGACTTGGGGAGGGGGTACATGGAGATAGGGACAACAAGGGCACAAGGGACAGGGGAAACAGGGCTGGGG